CCCGCGGGCTCAGGCAATCCACTCACCTCAGCCTCCCAAAGCACGGGATTACAGGTTGGGCCACTGAACCCAGCTTTTTTTTTTTAGGATCTATTGAGAGGACAGAAAAGCTCCCGCGGTGGGAGGGGACCCAAGGGAGCCCCTAATTACACTTTCTTCGACAAGACTTACTGGCAGCCTCAAACCCATCTTTATACATGCTGAACAACCTATACACATTGGTTCTGGACAACAGATATATGTTTTAGTTTCAATAAAAATTTTAGATTTCACTAATAGTCAGTTTTAGAAGATTAAAAAAAACCCGCCCTTCTGTTGTTTTAGCTATTGGAACAGTCCTTTGCTATATATGTGTCCCCTATTTAATCTTCTTATCTATTTTAAAGGACCATAAATAATTGATTTTTCATTTGTTTAATGTTGTTTGTTTTCTTTTTTTGTTTTGAGTTGGGGTCTTGCTCTGCCACCCATCATGACTTAATGCAGCCTCGACCTCCTGGGTTCAGACGATTTTTCTGCCTCAGTCTCCTGAGTAGCTGGGACTACAGGCTTGTGACACCATGCATGGCTAATTTTTGTATTTTTTGTAGAGATGAGGTCTTCTTGTGTTGCCCAGGTTGGTCTCGAACTCCTGGGCTCAGGAATACTCCTGCCTCAGCCTCCCAAAGTAAGACACCGCACTTGGCCCTGGTTTTTCTAATTACATTTTTTATTTTGAGTCTGATTGAGTTTTTGTTTTGTTTTGTTTTGAAAAAATTCAATCCCATATTATTATTTTAAAAAAGAATCTCTCAATAAGCTGGAAAATAAGGAAATTTTCTGATAAAGGGTGTTTATTTAAAACCTATCACAAACATCAGACTTAAAGACTAAATGTGCCAGACGTGGTAGCTCATGCCTATAATTCCAGCACTTTGGGAGGCAGAGGCAAGAGGATTGTCTGAGCCTACAGGTTCGAGACCAGCCTGGGCAACATGGTGAGAACTCATCTTTACAATAAATAAAAAAATTAGCTGGGCATGGTGGCATGTGCCTGTGGTTCCAGCTCTGGGAAGACTGAAGTGGAAGGATCTCCTGAGTTCAGCAGGTCAAGACCGTGGGGGCCATGAGCACGCAGTGCACTTCAGCCTGGGTGACACAGTGAAACTCCAACTCAAAAAAAAAAAAAAAGACTAAATGCTTTTCCTATAGAATCAAAAATAAGTTAAGAATGGAATGACCAATCATCATTTCTATTCAACACTGTACTGGGGGTTCTAGTCAGTAAGGCAAGAAAAAGAAATGTAAGAAATGTATATGGAGATGAATAATTAAAACAATTTCATTCACAGATGATATAATTATATACATAGAAATTCCTATAGATTCTATTTAAAAGTTTGAAGAACTAATTAATGAGTTTAGCAAGGTCATAGGATACAAATCAAAGTCAGTGTACAAAATTCAATCATATCTTTTTAATTTAAACAATTTTTTCTTTTAATTTTTTTTATTTTACAGATGTGGGGTACAATTCAGAGTTAGGTATATACAATGCAGGTATCCTTGTTGATGAGGTGTACCCCTCCCTCCCCCGACAAATTCCCATTACTGCCAATCCTTTTCTTATAGTATTACGATAATTATTCAAGGTTGATTGAGATTTTAAAGTTCAAAATTCAAAAACATTTCTTCTTTGCTGTTCTGCACTGATGCCTGGCCAAATTCTTTTTCATTTTGTTTAGTTTTACTGTTTATGTGTTAATAACTCCTATTTATGACTGCAGTGAAACAGAACGGTCAACACGTTTTGGCTAAAGAAAGGCGGCGGCCGCTCTGAGGTGACTGAAATCATTCGCTGTCAGCTGTATCCTCACAGCCTGCCCAGGGCAGGAAAATACATTCATTTCAAGAAATTTGTGTTAGATCTTTTTCTCCCCCAAGTAGACAGAAAAGTATGGATTCAGAACAAAGAGCATAATTAATTCCATAAAGAAAATAACTAAACATTCAATCTTTGATTAGTCTGTCAAAAAAAAGATGAAAGATCTTTGCTAACTAATTTTAATAAATTCTGCACTGACTCCTGTTTAGGTTGTAAATTATGATCTATGCAGCTGCCACAAAGCAGTGACTTACAGGCAGCTGGGTCATTCCTTACAGTCAGACAGCTATGGAGTCTAAAGCAACAGCTTGAGGTCGGACGGAGACAGGCCTGGGGAGGTGAAAGCCTCCTCCGTTTAGAGAAGGAAGCTTTAGTAAATGGATTCCTTTCCACTTCTGGAGCTGATAAATAAGCAACTGTTGCTTTGCTCCCATTGAACATTCATCCTAATCAGTTTTGTCTCCCAGATGCTACTCAGAATGATGAAACATAGCACCGAATACTCACTGGATGCTGCAGTACCTTAGAGCGAGAGCAAGCAAAAGCTTAAGTGCTTCTTAGAGGAGCAGAAAAGACCGGAAGGTAAGAGGATAACAAATGTCATCTGAAGAAGAGGACTTGTTTTCATCTGTTTTGGGAAATACTTTCATAACTAGTTAAACATATGCTTTACAGCTAGATAAACTTGTGAGCTATATTTGATGAATTATTTATGTAATTTTTCTAGAGGGAGAGAGGACTTGCTCTGATGCCCAAGCTAGAGGGCATTGGTGCGATCATGATCCTCCTGCCTCAGCCTCCTGAGAATCTGGGACTATAGGAGCGCACCATCATACCCGGCTGATTTTTAAAATTTTTTTGTAGAGATGAGTTCTTACTATGTTGGCCAGCCTAGTCTTGGTCTCCTGGCCTCAAATGATCTTCCTGCCTCGGCCTCCCAAAGTGTTGGGGTTATGGATGTGAGCCACCATACCTGGTTGACATTTAGGTTTAAATACAATATCCACACACATCGATAAATATCAAAGAGCCTATGCATCTTTTTCATCTTTGCCAATGAAGGAATAAATGAGGCATTCACTTCAAAGCAAAAGTATTTTGTAATCTACATTCTCATGCAGGATTTTATGGCACAAGAAATATATTATGCAGCAATAAATAAATAAATAAATAACAGTGCACTGAAATGATAAAGATGGTTAAGGGAAGAGAAAGGTGTAAGGAGAGTAATAGATGTATGAAAAAAACCTCAAAACACAAAACTGACTTCAACATGTTGATATGATACTGAATTATCAGCTGAGACCACCACTGTTGACACAGTTTTGGGAGGAATAGCTCCAAAGGACATGTACCAAAATACAGGATGCATTCTTAGGCTGTCCTTACCCAGGAAGGCTGCCATGTTCATCACCTGACTAAACACGCAGCTGGCAGGAGGGTCATCACCTGCAATACTTGAAAGAGACGAAATGTTTTAGAATTACCATGTTAAAACCCATAACCACCCAACTTTCCCAAGACCCAGCAGACCAGAGAGGATTTCAGAGATACCTTATATATGGGGCATGCTTCACTCCAGGCTTCCTGGATGACAAAAACCAAAGACACTCAGGTTAGTGCGCAGTCATTTGTACAACTTAACCTCGACAAAGTTTTTGCTAAATCCACTGAAGAGCAAAGAATTCAGAAAAGAGGCAGACTTTACCTTTCTGCTGAATTTAATGGTAAAATCTTGTCATCTTCCACGGCTATAAAGTATCTATCAAGAAAAAAATGATACGTTTGCAAAAAAAAGAAATGGAACAAAAAAGAATCATTTGTTTCCCAGTTTTATTAGACTAACCACACTGAATCGTGTTCATTTTTTTCTGAGAAAATGCTTTTTTACTACAATTATTTTATTTTAACTTTTTTTTTTTGTAGAGATGAGATCTTGCTATGTTGCCCAGGTTGGTCTCAAATTCCTAAGCTTAAAGCAATCCTCTCACCTTGGGCTCCCAAATTGCTAGGATTACAGGCAGGAGCCACTGTGCCTAGGCCTTTTACTACTTTGAAGCTCAAATATCATTATTATAATCTAGAAACTGAAAAACAAAGAATAGACTTTACAATCTTGAGCAAACTAAATGAGAACTCACAAAACTTTTTAACTTCTCAGGATTACGTGTCCGACTTTGTTAGTGAACTTCAAGGAACTAAAATAATTTTCTTAAAGTGAATTATGATGTGAAATAAGGATGCGTAGGAACATTTTGTGGTAGCATTTTGTAGTATAGACTTTCAGTGTAATACTCTTCATCTTATAAACACATCAGACCCAGTCACACATAACTGGACCCTGAACGGGGCCATGGGTGGAATCCACAGCATGGTCACGTCAAAGCAGAAAATCCTGCCAATAATAAATTCACAGAACTAGTTTTACACAGTGTTCCTTACAACAAGAACATGTGAAACCAAACTAAAACCAGTATTCTTCACCACCTGCTTTTCATAATTTATTACTCATTTTTGTTATTTATTTTGGGGTGATGAAAGTTGGGAAAAGAAACGGGAATTTAGGAAGGCTGAATGAGTGCAGCTATGATTTTGAAGTGTTTATAAATGCAACTATGTGAATGTGCCCTATTAGAACGTAACATTTTTATCATCATACGCCTGAATCCTTGAGCAATTAGAGAATACTCACACAATCCACAACCCAGCTGCAGTGAACACGGTGAACACAAGAGGCAGGAACATCCATACGCTGCATTTCTTCCCATCCATGCCTGGACCACTGAGAGAAAACAAACAGGTATTCACAATGAAGGCAGGAAAGTTCCTCCTGCTTTTAGTATGGAAAGGAAGTTTAGTCTGACCAAAAGAAAATATATATTATGAAACCATGATTCAAGTCAGTATCATTACTGCCACCTGCTCACAGGATAGTCCTTTGAGCAGTTAACATGGATGATTGCTTGCTAGCATTGGCTTAAATGCTCCAGAATCTCAGTTGAGAACGAATGGAAAATTTTTCATAAATGCACTTATCCTTGTATAAGCAACAATACATTTGGGTTCTGCGTTTTTTGTTTGTTTGTTTGTTTGTTTTGAGTCAAGGGTCTCACTCTGTCACTCAGGTTGGAGTGCAGTGGCATGATCACAGCTCACTGTAGCCTCAACCTCGTGGGCTCAGGCTATCCTCCCGCCTCAGCCTTCCAAGTAGCTGGGACTACAGGCGTGCAACACCACCCTTGGCTAAGTTTTAAATTTTTGTAGAGACAAGGTCTTGCTATGTTGCCCAGGCTGGTGTGAACTCCTGTGCTCAAGCAAACCTCCCGCCTTGGCCTCCCAAATTGCTGGGATTATAGGTGTGAGCCACTGTGCCTGGCCAGCATCAATACATTTAAGAAAAGACAAAAGAGTTAGAACTTCCAGAAGAGCTAGGTGCCAAAGGCTACTCCAACCTACTTTTAGTGCTAATGTTAATATGTATGAATTTATGGATCTGACATGTATATAAGTCTAGAGCCTGGCAGACAAGAGTGTTGCAAATAAATGGCTACTAAATAAATTAGCCATGCAAGAGAAAATGACAAATGCTTTGCAGATCTGAACTTTCTTTTCAACATGCTGTTGAACAGCTGTCACGGAAGACTCTGAAGATGAACGCTCTGGAAAACAGTGCATTGTGTATAACTTTAAATTAGCTCTCTACTAAACATACTGGGGAAAAACCCAGATGCCGGACATTTTGGATGCTGCTTTTCTTTTTGAGTCAGGGTCTCACTTTATCACCCAGGTTGGAGTAGAGTGGCACAATCACAGCTCACCGCAGCCTCAACCCCCTGAGCTCAGGCAATCCTTCAGCCACAGCCTCCTGAGTAGCTGAGACTACAGGGGTGCACCAACACACCAGGCTACTTTTTTAAATTATTATTTGTAGAGATGAGGTTTTGCTATGTTGCCTAGACTGGTCTCGAACTCCTGGGCTCAAGTGATCCTCCCTCCTGGGCCTCCCAATATACTGGGATTACAGACATGAGCCACCACATCCAGTCATTGGATGTCACTTTTTAAAAAAATTTTAATTTTAAAGACGTGATGAGCCGGGCTCGGTGGCACAGCCTGTAATCCCGTGCCTTTGGGAGGCTGAGGTGAGTGGATTGCCTGAGCCTGCGGGTTCGAGACCCGCCTGGGCAGCGAGACCTCATCTCTACAATAAATCAAAAAATCAGCCGGGCGTGGTAGCGCATGCCTGTAATTCCGGCTACTTGAAAGGCTGAGGCGGAAGGATCGCCGGAGCCCAGCAGGTCGAGGCTGTGGTGGCCGGGAGCGGCCACTGCACTCCAGTCTGGGCGACAGGGTAAGACTCCAACTCAAAAAAAAAAAAAAAAAAAAGATGTCAGGTACAATTCAGGGTTAGGCATACAAATGTTCATTATGAGGTACCCTTTTGATGAGGTATGCTCCCCCCAGCAGTTTCCCACTACTACCAATCCTTTTCTTTTTTGGAGTCTCACTGTCGCCCAGGCTGAAAAGCAGTGGCACATTCACAACCACTACAGTGTCGACCTGCTGGGCTCTGGCGATCCTTCCGCCTCAGCCTTCCAAGTAGCTGGAACTACAGGCACATGTTACCAAGTCTGGTTTATTTATTTTTTTTATTGTGAAGATGAGGTCTCACTAAGTTGCCAGGGCTGGTCTCGAACCCGCGGGCTCAGGCAATCCACTCGCCTTGGCCTCCCAAAGTCTCGGATTACAGGCTAAGCCACCAAGCCTGGCCTCAATTCTTTTCCTATAGTATTATGATAATTGTTCAAGGTCCATTTATGAGTGAGAACATGTTGTACTCAGTTCTTAGTTTCTGTTAAAGCAAAAATATAATTATAAAAAACCTGCCCTTCCCAAAGTAGTGAAAACTAGAAGTTTCAGAAGTGTCTGTGAAAAAATTATTGGTATTAAACAGAAATAACTAATTATTACTTTACATTTTATCTTTGCCAAAAACCATTGGACAAAATCTATTTGAGATGCTGGATGCCAATATAATCTTAGGGCAGAAAATACCTGCCCCAAGAAAACAAAATGCCCTAGTGACCGCCCTTGGGACCTGATAGATTGATACTGTGATTAAATGGCACCTCTAGTGAGAGACAAATGCCCTTTGAGTTTTACAATGTACTACAACAGGTTTGCTTAATTGGGTTTGAGGCTGCACAGTCACATTTCTGAATACCTCTGTGACATCCACTTTTACATGCTGGGGCTCTCAGAACTATCCAAGTATTGAGACCAGAGAGAGAACACGGTGCTTCCTTTATTATGCTGGTGAACCAGTTCCTTCTGCAAGGACTCAGGAGGTCTCAGTTCCCAGAGCGACCCCTTCTTGCTTAGGTCGATCGTTCAGACCAGGAGTCAGAAAACTTGGACCTAATAACATGTCTTTGAACAGTTGCGCCTTTATCCAAACACGCATCTGAGCAGGGGTATCATTAATAGATAAATTACAGAATCTAGGAACTGAATGAAATTAGAGCCACCTCTGATAATTTAATCGAATCCAACCCTGTTCACAATGACTGACATCCTACTTGTGCCAGGTACTATACTGGGAGTGGAAATCCTGGGGTGGTATTCAGTGAATGCAACTGTTTGTGTCTAATTGTCTGTGCAGTACACAAATGCTGCCATGTGAGCTAGTGGTTTGTGGCTTCCCAGTTAATACCATAAGGAAGAACAGTGAACATGTGGCTAGTCAGTTTCCATTTATATGTCCAAAAAGTTGTGGGCTCATAATAAAGCTATCAATTATGCCAACAAAAATGATTCCACCTGCAGCCACAATGTGGAGGGAGCACAGAACACAGGAGCCATGATGGAGCATGTACACAAGTCATTTCAGGTCTGTCCTGAACAAAGGTGCTCTGATTTCTCCCATGGGCTGAGGGCAGCCACGATGGTTCCCAGTCCAGCTTTGCCGGTATCTACTCCTGGGTGTGGGCCAGGAACTAAGTGTGTACCGCCGTGTCTCTGTCTCACTCCATGAAGATTGCTGAACTCAAAGAAAGGAAGGATGCCCAAGCCCGAGACCTCCAGGGAGGCAGGACCTTGGGGGTGAACTCAGATCCGGTATTTCCTGTGACAGAACGCTCCAACTATCAACCCCAGAAGAAATGTCAGCCATGTTTACAACAGATTGGTGACTAAGTCAGAAAGCCACCTCAGCGATGTACGGTGAGAGGCACAACTGTCAGATGAAGAGACACCCACTCTGGCTCCCTTCTAGAAACATCCATGTGGGAAATCAACATCTGGGAGCAAGGATGGGTAGAGATGCTACTATGGATCTCATGGAATGTCTTGACACTTAATGGGATCTCCTGCAAACCAAGAATTTTTCATTTTAATAAGATCCAATGTATTACATTTTTTCTTCTATGGGTCATGTTTTTTTTGTTTTTTTTTTCCAGTCAGAGTCTTTGTCACCCCGGCTAGAGTGCAGGGGCACTCTCACAGCTACCACACCCTCAACTTGCTGGGCTCAGGCAATCCTTCTGGCTCAGCCTCCTGAGTAGCTGGAACTCAGGTGTATGCCACCATGCCCAGCTAATTTTTTGATTTATTGTAGAGACGAGGTCTCACCAATTTGCCCAGACTGGTCTTGAGACCCTGGGCTCAGGCAATCCTCTCGCCTCTGACTCCCAAAGTGCTGGATTGCAGGTGAGACATCATACTTGGCAGGTATTCATTTTTTTTCAGATGACTTTTCAAGTAATTAATATCTCAACCTTATCTTAACGTAGAAGGTCTACCTTCCTGATACTCTAGTGTTTTGTTCTTTCAGCATGCACTGCTTTTGTTTTGTTTTGTTTGAAGCATGTAAAGTGACTACTGGTTACTCTCCTAAATTCTATTTTCACTAAGTTTAATTCTCAGAGGGCAATCTTATGTCCAAATTTTGGGAAAGTCACACTGTATCCCTCGCCAAATGATCGGTGAAGATTGCCCTTTCTTTCTTTCTTTTTTTTTTAGAAAGTAGGATTCATTGAGAGGACAGAAACGCTCCCACAATGGGAGGGACCCAAGGGGGTTGCCCAATTGCCCTTTCTTAACTCAAAGGAATGCTTTGGGTGGTGAACAGAATAAGTTTTTGAGTGGTTTTATTATTAACTGGCAGTGGAACTACTTTGGTGCCTCTGCAGGGCTTTTTCATTGAATATGCCTTTTTTTTTTTTTAGACAATGGCAAAGTCACATGCAGTTACAATAAATAATATAGAGAGATTTTGTACGTTCCTCACTCTGTCTCCCCAGCAGTCATATCACCACAGTACAATATCAACATCCCAGAAACTGACAGTGATACAATCCTTCAACTCTATTCAGACTTCACCAGAACGCCTTTCTCTGGATGTATTCAGTTCTATGCAATTTGACCACAGGCTTATTGGCCATTTGTGTATCTTTTCTGGAAAGTGACTATTAAAAGTCCTTTGCACATATTAAAATTGGGTTGTTTGTTTTCTTTGTTGTTGAATTGTAGTTCTTTACATAGTCTAGATATCAACTCTTGACATATACATGATTTGCAAAATGTCCTTCCATCATGTGAGTTGCCTTTTCACTCTGCTGATAGTGTCCTTTGATGCATAAAAGTCTTTAATTTTGATGAAGTTGAGTTCATCTATTTTTTCCTTTTGTTGCCTGTGCTTTTTTGGTGTCCTATCCAAGAAACCACTACCAAGTTCAATATCATGAGGCTTTTCCCTTACGTTTTCTTCTAAGAGCTTTA